GTTTTGTTTTTTTTGGGTTTTGGTTTTTTTTTTTTTTTTTTGTTCCTCTCTGCTTTAAATAGTCACAACTCCGCTCCTTTAGCACCTGTTTTTTTTTGTTCTCCTGGTGGTGGCAGCTGTGCTTAACCCCTTGTCTGCCTAAAACCAAACCACCTGCCCCAGACGGGCCACAAGGATGAAAATAAATCCCAGAGCGGCTCCCTCCCCAGTTGATGTTACTCAAACGAGTGCTGGAGAAGCAGCCGAATCCTTTCAGCCGGTGACTAAGTAGCAACATTAGAGCAGGGCTCTATGATTCTAGCCCCACAAATGACACACCAGAAAGACGCTAACCACCTAGGTGCAAATTGTGGGCTTGAGGAGAAATGGAAACCAAACCCAGCTCCTTTATCACTTCTGCTTTAGAGGTTATTCTCACCCATCGGACATAATGTTTTAATATTCTGGCTGGTACATCTGCCTGCACAAAGCTATTTCCCGGAGGAATTTACCCCGTCCCCAAAAGATTTTATAGTCCCCCTAATTAGTTTCCCTGAAGCCAAATCTGCTTGGCACAATGTGACTTTTATCGTGTCATAACTGAATGGATTTAAATAACCGAATGCAGATTTCTTCCCTAGTGCTATTTTAAGTCACACATGCTGGGTGAAGTGCAGTTTGTTTTTGATTAACTTTCTCTCTCTCAAACAGGACAGTGGTTATTTTGTTCCCTTTATAATGGCAACCTTAAGACCAGCCCTTAAACGCCACACTATGCAGACTTGCCGGCTCATGAGGATAAATCAAAACTCGAGTAGAAAATTGGAAGCTTAGAGGCAAAGTTTGCTCCATGAAATAGGAAGCTTTCTTTAGCATGACAGGAGCACCGGGAGCTTTGTCTGTTGCTGTGAGACCTAAACCCACCCTAGCAAAGCCGGCTCATTTGCCTTCCACGGACTCACGTCAGATGCTGCTCGTAGTGTAGGAATCGGCCCACCCTGCCAGGGGACTTGTCATTTGGACAAGCGGTCCTGTGCTGTTAGAGGCTGCCAGGCCCGAGGCATGAAAGGCTTTCCGGTCACGTATTGTCCTTAACAAGGATTTAGCGCTTGAAAGTTAAGACTGATGTACATTGCATTCGAACCGAACAATAAACTAGATTGCCTACAAGCACTTGGCCGGGTGCATTTTTGTTGGTAAAGCCTCTTGTACTGTTCACCCTCAGGGCTCTGATTCCAAAGCATCCAATAAAGGCCTGGTCACAGCACCTACCTCTGATGGGGGGACCCACCTTCCGTAGGTCCTGGCGGGGAACGGAACCAAGCTGCACTGACAAAATGAAGCACTCGGCCATGTTTGATTCTTGTGGTCACAAGCCCTGTATCACCTCCTGCCTCACAGGGGAGCAGATGGACACGGTGCCGGGGAAAGTACCGTACATCCCTGCAGCTGGAAGTCAGGCGGAAGCGGGTGACCATGCTGTGCTCCTGCTTGGCCAGGCCACAGTCAGTCTGGCAGTGCAATCAGCTGTAGGAAGATGTGCTTGTGGGAGGGTTCACCTGTGGTTTCTGCCAGCTCTTCCCCCTGCCCCCCAACAGGTTGCAGCAGCTGTGGTGGCTACCACCTCCTCCTGTATTCAACTTCCAAGATGGAGGGTGGTTCTGGACTGGGCCCTCCCTGGCCTGGTTTGATTCCTCCCCTCCCCCAGCCTCTTATCACTTGCTGATCCTTAGTTTGCTGGTTTGAGGGTTGACCAGCCCCAAGTCTTCCTGGGACCATACTGATTTACACTCCCCTTGAGAAGGCAGAGTGAATTTAGGCACTGACTCCAACTCTCCATTCTCTGCTTCTCCCTCGCTGTGCAAAACAGACACAATGATCCCATGGGGAGAAAGGGGTGTCAAATCCTAACTATTTCCACAATGGCACCTTAGACGAGTCGTTTCCCAGCCCACTCTGTGGTTCAGTTGTAAGCTCTTCGGGGCCAGGACTCCCTGCGTAGCCACAATATAATTAAGCAGGGCATACTCCTTCCCCCAACTCTGCCCAATTTAACCAGGCCCTCACCATTTCTATACTTGCCTGTGTAGCTGGGGGCATATCCCTGTGTGCTCTGGGATTCCTTCCCAGGTGAGTGTGGGAGAATGTCTGCCTTCAGGGTGAGGGGAGGGAGGGAGAGAACACTGGAGGACTAGCAGCCTGCTGACTCATTGCCTGGATTTTCATCCACATCTAATCAGGCCAGCCCGCCCTTAAAGCAAAGCACCTCTTCTGGCATGAAGGGGGCTTGGTAGGATCCTGACAGTGCAGCGTGGAGCTACATATCACCCTCCTGACTCGGCCAGGCAAGCCACGGTGTAACCCTCAGCTTCCTACAATCTGGTTGTCTTCATTGGCCACGGGCAGTTACTCAGATTTCTGTCTGCACTTACATTAGATCACTGCCACGATAACACGGCCACAGCGCCACCACTGGGAGATTGCTCCTTGTGCTTTAGGGAAACCAGCTCCGAGGGGCATAGCTCGCAGCACCTGGAGCCCATCTGCACAGGCGAGTCGCTGTGCTGACATCTGCCCTGCTGGGGGATTTTTCACACCCCTGAGCAAGGATGTTTCTGCGCAGTAACTAGCGAGGTTAGACAAGCCCTTAATTACACACACAAGAAAAAAGCAGCCAGAAACCCGAGCAACTTTCTGGGAGACAGACCTACTGCCACAGCTCTACATACAATCAGAGAGGCAGCTGTCAGCAGCTCTGAGCTGGGCTCTTAGGACTGACACAGAGGGGTGAATCAGGTGGACAGACCACAGCCCAGCAGCTCCCAAGCCCAGCTAATCCCTTACCGGGGTAGGAGACCTCACTCTGATAGTGAGAAACCTCATGGTGACATTAAAAGGCAGAACATGCCACAAGAGATTACGGTCATATCCACTGACTGGTAGAAAGGAGACACTGAAGGGAGACCACCCCCTTCCCCACCTCTTGGCAACATGGCCAATGTCTCCCCACACTATTCCGGGAGCAGCTCAGGACTGATGGGTAGACCCCTCTCCAGGCTCACAGGTGCTCCCTGTGAACAGCGCTAACAGCAAGCGAGGGGCTGAGCCCACATGCTCCAAGCCCGAGAGACTCATCATCATGACTCAGCACAACAGGCCTGAGATTTCAAGCCAGCTTGATCCAAAGCGGGGGAATGAAAGGCCTACAGCAGGGGCCTTCAGGCTGATGCAGAGGTTTAGGAGCTGCAGACCCTGCCTGTAAGCCAGGGGTGGGGGAAACCTGTTCCCTATCAGGGGCTACTGACACACCCCTCCCCCCCCAAATCAGTTGTGGATCACACAACACTGCAGGGAGACACGGAGGGCCTGGAGCCAAAAATGAGGTCAGGACACAGGAGGGGGCTTCAGGCTGGGGCAAGGGCTCCAACTGGGAGAGCAGGTTCTGGGGTGGAGCTGGGGATAGGGCATTCAGGAATGGGCTCAGCAAGGGATCGGTGTGGGGGGCCTGGGTAGGAGTCAGGGTGCTGGAGCGGCCTCAGAAAGGGCTCAGGGCTGGGAGAGGCAGGCTGCTTACCTCCGGCAGTGCCCAGCCATGGGCAGGCTCCATGCCTGCCCTGGCCCCATGCCATTCCCAGAACATCCCAGCAGCCCCTGGGGGCCTAGAGGCAGGCAGCTCCATGAGCTGCCCTTGCCTGCAAGCATCACCCCTGCACCTCCCATTGGCCATAGTTCCCCGCCACTGGGAGCTGCAAGGGCAGCCCATGAAGCATTCCTCATCCCTGTGAGCCAGTGCTTATAGCTCCATCTGGGCGCTAAAGCTCAGGGCTTCCAGCCCAGGGCATGGAGACTTGCAGTGGGTTGGCTGAAATTAAGCAGTGGGACGGATTCTTCCCACTGGAGGTTCCCCATGCCGGCTTTAAGCCATCGGGGCCAGTCATAGGAACTGTTCTGCTGCTCAGACACCAGTCCAGAGGCAGCCTACACCTCCTTTTAATTACAGGCGGATGTTTAGTTTGAAATTGCCTTTGCCTGGCGGATCCTGCTAGCAAGGCATGCAGCCATCACCACTGCCGACAGCTAAACATTTCACAGCGCTGCAGAAACTCTCCCCCCACCCACTTTGAAGTAAGCAACTTGGGAGCAGGGAAGGAGGCAGAGTTGAAATGACTTGGGTCACACCTGCAGCGAACCAAGGGTTCGCCTTCCAGCCAGGCTACGATTGCCTTTGCCTGGCGGATCCTGCTAGCAAGGCATGCAGCCATCACCACTGCCGACAGCTAAACATTTCACAGCGCTGCAGAAACTCTCCCCCCACCCACTTTGAAGTAAGCAACTTGGGAGCAGGGAAGGAGGCAGAGTTGAAATGACTTGGGTCACACCTGCAGCGAACCAAGGGTTCGCCTTCCAGCCAGGCTACGGCTCTTACACAGCCCGTTTGTGATCAGGCTGCTTTAGGGAGCCTTGCCACAGTGGATTCAAGTCTTCAGGAGCAGTCACAAGTTTTTAAAGCTTCCGTCTGTGGCGATGGTGCCAAGCTGTTTAGCTTACAGAGCAACCAGCGGGTTCCTCTTAACTCAGCTAGATCTGAGCAACACCCCTCCCATCACACAGACAGCGTTTGGCGCTTTGTCAGGCAGGCAGACACAGGTGCTGCATGAAACGGATGGAAGTTGAGTTTAAGAACAAGGAACTGGGGAAGGAAACCAGCATCACAGAACAGACACATACAAACTACATGAGACAGTAACCTAGTCACCCCAGATTGTTCCTGAAGACACGGAGCGAGGGTAATGGAGCAAAGGTTTTGCGAGGAACCAATAGGGAACCCTCCAGCAAGGTAGCACCAGTATCAAAGACACCCAACAAAACAGAAGCAGCTTAAAAATATCCAAGGTCTTTAATGAGTAAATGTAACTGCAGCACCCACTTCCACATTTACCTTTAATAATGGAGTTTGACGCCCACCATCTACCGCCTACAGTTTCTACTCAAAGAAGTTAGCTAGTACGCAGCTCAACTTGCTGAGACGGCTGGAGTCCTCAGTGGGAGAGAGGGAAGAGCAGCAGTGGTAAGACAGGTTCTTGGTTGTGTACGGACGTGGAAGTGAGTTGTATCACACGCAAGAGCTGGTGATTAGATTGTTTTAACAGCCAGGGAAATATACAACATTGTAGGGATTCCACTATTCCGGATTCTTTAAAAAAAGAAAAGCTACAACTAATTCAGAGTCCGTATTTCCCAGAAGGAATCAACAAAAAAAAACAAAACTAAGTAAACGACAGACTAATGAAAGTTTCAGTGTGCCTGGGTATATAAAAATCATCTGTGGAACCATCCATGGGAGCCAGTGCTAGAAACGGCTGTTTTAAGTTCGCAGTGACTAGCTACCCTCCCTTGCTGTTTTAAATAAGTATGTACAACAAAGCGTCCTCACGGGAGCCAGCAGAGAGGGGCTATTTAACAAGGGGTCTTGTTTTGTCGTCATCACTACACTGGTGGGCTTTGTATTTTTTCACTTCTGCCATGTATTTGGCCCAGGCATCTCCTTTACTAGTCAAAACCTGCAGAGAGAGAGAGAGAGAGAGAGACGGGAAGGGAATTCAAAGGCTGTAACCAAAACACGTGCACTGAGTGGACTACATCTGCAATGCACGTTGTACTAATGAGCTACCCCATAAAAGAGCGGTTATCCCTAACAGAGACACGGACACAGGAAGTTAAGACTAGAAATGAGAACTCCCGGCTCCGATTGCTAGGCCCATTCACTCCTCCCAGAGCTGGGGAGAGACCCCAAGAACCAGGGATGTAAGTGACGAGTCGACTACTCAACAAGCCTAGGCTGATTGGGTATTTGAGTCACCACTCAACTAGCTGCTCTCCCCCTCCCCCCCGGCCCGCTGTCTCTATCCACAGGAAGTTAAGACTAGAAATGAGAACTCCCGGCTCCGATTGCTAGGCCCATTCACTCCTCCCAGAGCTGGGGAGAGACCCCAAGAACCAGGGATGTAAGTGACGAGTCGACTACTCAACAAGCCTAGGCTGATTGGGTATTTGAGTCACCACTCAACTAGCTGCTCTCCCCCTCCCCCCCGGCCCGCTGTCTCTATCCGTGGGGGGGGGGGACAGGGGAGGCAGAGGCGCAGCCGGGCCTGAGCCATACGGCTCTTACTACACTGAAAAGGCAGAGCCACAGCGGAGTTAACTCCCCCTGGGAACTAACCCTGCTACAGCTCTGCAGTTTCCCCACTTACTGACTAATCGAGTAGTCAATGGAAATTCCATCCACTACTTGATAAGTTGATTAAATGCAATTTAACATCCTTATCAAGAACCCCAGCTCCCTCTCCCATCCCTGCTCCCCCAAACCAGGAATAAGACCCAGGAGACCTGGCATCCAAACTCCTGTTCTAAACTCCTATGTAGCTGGACTCTGCTATACTGACTCTCCTTTCACCTCTGACGGCTTAAAGCGTACACAAGTGACTCCCTGAGAATCTCTGCTGCATGTGAGACAGATACATAATCAGCAGCAGGGCTCTGCCCCCCGCTGAGACATGGGACTGGAGCATGGCTAGTGACGGCTGCATCTATTCTCTGCTTCCTAGGGCCACAGGAAAGGGGTGATCTGCATGAAGAAATGCCCAGAATAGCCACTTTAGAAAGGGATTAATCTAAACACAAGGCAGCCCTTCACTCCATGTGGAATAACAGGGCTTTGATACATGGACAAATAGCCCAGAATAGCTATCCTGGGCTAATGCTACACGTAGACCCTCTTATTCGCTGTTCCTTAACCCAGTCTCCGGCCCCCAACTGGACCCCACCCCCAACCTCTGAACCCAGCTCAGAGCCGCCACCACGCAGTACGGGATCGGGTCCCTCGGAACTCTAGATTTCAGAACCCGCTGCAGAGAAATGCTCCTTGATTGATATTTCAAGAACTTTTACAATCAACAGTAGAACCTGAGTTTTACACCAATCTCCCAAAAGACCAGTTAGCAACCCCTGCCCCCCTCCCCCCGTGAAAGCGATGTCGAAGAACCAAGTGGACAACCGTCACATTCTGATGCTGTCAATGCATCGGAAAACACTTTGAAGTGGGTTTGAAGGACAAGCAAGCTATGTGGGGCACAATTCTGAAACGTATGCACCCCAAACTACTGTCATTTTGAGATCAGCAATTTTACCAACTCTTCGTTCCCCAGGTGGTTTGTAAAATAAGAGGATCTACTGTCATCCCTAATCCCTAGCTCTTCTCTAAACAGGGATGTGAAGGGTTACCGGTTAACCGGTGGAGGCTGGAGCAGCTCCCCACCTACTATGGGCAGGGGGCTGCTCCAGCCATCCACAGCAGACTGGGGCTGCTGCCCCCGCTCATGTCTAAGGCTACATCTAGACTGCTTTCTTTTGCCAAAAGATATGCAAATTTGGAGTTAATTTGCATATCTTCCAATTGCATTGTCGGAAGAGGTTTTGTTGAAAAAGAAAGCAGTTTAGACGCAGTTCTTTAAAAAAAACAAAAACAAAACCTATTGTTGACAGAACCTTTCTTCCTAAAAAGATGAGGTGTGCAGTGTTCTTTTGAAAAAGGGTTTTTCCCCCTGAAAGAACCACGTCTAAACTGGTTTCTTTTTCGACAAAACCTCTTCTGATAACACAACTGGAAGATATGCAAATTAGCTCCAAATTTGCATATCTTTTGGCAGAAGAAAGTAGTCTAGATGTGCCCTAAATGATTAGCCAATTAAGCAGGATTTTACATCTCTAACATCTTTGCCTCCAGAGATCTCAAAGCACTTAAAGATCAGTTTCATCACTCCCACTTCACAGATGATGAAACTGAGGCACAAAGGATCACAAATTGCCCCAGGTCATCCAGCAAAGCAAGGGCAGGAACAAAAGCCAGGTCCCCCAAGTGGCAGTCCAGCACACTATCCATTAGGCAACTTACCTCCTCCTCGGTCTTTTGCTTCTTTGCTACCACTCCTGTCTTCAGGGCTAGTTTGTTGCCACCTCTCCGCTTGCCCACCTGGGTGAAGGGACAGAAGACTGCAACCGTTATACGAGCCCTGGCAGCTGCAAGGGTAAGGTTGCCCACTATATAATGGAATAGGGAGTCCTTCAATTAGATCATCTTAACGCGTCACGCCTGTTCTTCAGTATAAAGCTGCCAAGCAGCCTGCGTCCCCCAACGCAGCCACAGATGCTAGAAGACAAGCGCACGTCCAACAGCTGTTATCCACGCATTGTTTGGTTTGATCCAAACGCAAGCAGATGCAAAGGAAATCGAAACCGTAAGCTTCCCCACCCCAATACAAGCCGCTGCAGCAGAGCTGTCCCCCAAAGAAACTTTCCATTTTCTAGCCTCACGCAGCCCCTTCCACCACCTCAAACATGCCGTAAGTGGCCTCACACTACAGCCATCAGCAAGCCTCAATAGGGGAACGCTGCACCACCTCTGCGCTCTCTGCTGGTAAACCGCTGTCCCATGTGTCATAGCAATGTGGATTTTCATGGACTTAAGGAAGCGCTTCTGGCGCTCTAGAAATCTGTGACAAGCTTATAAAGCTCGTGCAGCCTGAGGTGGTATTTTATGCGATGATGTACACAGAGATTACACGCATTCAGTGATTAGCTAAGGAGGAAGACCAACAGTTTGCATAAGAATAATTCTCTCCGAAAGTCATTCCAGCCAGTCAGACTTGGGGAAACCCTGCTCTTCTTCTCGCTTGCAGAAGTCGGAATCCAACAGTTCACAGGACATTCAACCAAGGCAGCATCCTATGAAATCCCTGCTTCCTCCTACCCCAAAAAGGAGATCCTAGCTCCTGTTCCAGCCAGGCTGCAATAACACTGCAAGCCTTGAGTGACAGCCCAACATACGCGACAGCCTGGAGGCAGGGCTCTATAGTGTGTGCACTTGGGGCTTCACACCCGACTAATACTCAGAAAAATAAAGGGCAGAAAAACTCTCCTCCACAGCCTTCCCACTTGGGTTTTCATTCGCTAAAATCCCTGTCAATCCTGAGCTACAGCAAGCTGAGGGAAAAGGGGATTTTACTTCTCTGTCCATACAGCTAGTCAATCTGCAGACCACTCTTGCACTAGGTAGCTCCATATAAGGAAGATGAGATTTGTGCCTCTATCAGCCAGGTCTAGTTTTCTGAGACCTACTGTGCTGTGTTCTGACACCCACAGGCCTGCCCGTAACATCCCAAAATAGCGTTTAGTACCAGGAAATGTACAAAATTCATCCCATGGCTGTTTCCTAAAGGGCAGTTCAACAGCTCTCACTAGCACTCAACACACAAGGAACAGAAAACTACCATACCAAAGCCTGCCCCGCACGCCACAGAGCAGGCAGTTTGGCCTTGGTTAAAGCCCGATTCAGCAAGCTACCCCGGCACATGAATAACTTTTTGCATATGAACAGTCTCATTCCAGGATAAAATTAAGATCGTGGTGAAATGAGGGCTAGGCTATGCATTAAGCAGGCACCAAGATGGCCAGCAATCCTACTGATTAGTCACGGTATTTTGATGCAGATATTCTACTGGGCAAAGGACACTGTGGGTGAACAGCGCTGGCAGGGAAAAAGGGGACCATTAATGACTCTGGAGGCCAATTCCAAACGCAGCTCAGTGCAGTTGAGGCTCTGCAACTGAAAACATCTGCAAACACAGCTGCAGTTTTCATCCACACCTATCATCACTTGCACACCCAGCAACAGAGACAACTGAGGAAGACAATGGTTATTCTTTAGCATTATTTCATCTCTCATATCCACTCCTGACAACAGTTTCTGACCTTTGCTATAGAAGGTAGCATACTTCAAACTCTTGTGGGGCCAAGGCCTACGGTGTATTTAGCCTCATCATGGTTTGATAAGTGACCTAGATATTGCAACAGAGGGACAGGGGATTTGTTTTAGCATCTTTGCAATCTACAGAAGTTCCAGCTAACAAGTTCCCAAGCACAACAGGAGCACATCACTAATAACGGTTATGGACCCACACTATTCAGTGCAAACTGGGATGCAGATAAGTCCCCCTTAATTGGCTACTCTTCAGAGTCAAGTGTTTAGTTGTAAAAGATCCAGGGGATTAAAAAAAAATCAGCGCGACTTCTCTGAGATAATTCCACCCACGCGCCAGGAAGTGAAAATGCCATTGCTGGAATGAGTTTCTTCTGAGACTCGTCCAGAGTCTTTATTCTGTAACTACCACACAGGTCAGCGATAGCTCATAGCACAGTGGTCGCCAACACGGTGCCCGCGGGCGCCATGGCGCCCGCGGGGGCATTTCTGTGCACCCGACAAGTGCTCGGGGCTGGCTTGGCCCCAGACACGTGGCGCATGCGCTGTGCCGGAGCCAGCCTCGGGCGCATGGTGAACGCCGGCCCCGGGGGCACAGATACAGGCAGGGGGGCCAGGCGTGCAGCTATGGGAGGGAGGGGGACACCAGCCCCAGATGCGTGGCTATGGGGGGGGGCGCGCACTGGCCCTGGGAACGCGGCGAAGTGGCCGCCCGTGCTCCAGGCGTGCGGCCCATGGGAAGCGCGGCCCCCTGGTGTGCAGCTATGGGGGGGGAGGGGCACCGTCCCTGGGCACATGGCGAAGCGGCCGTCCATGCTCCAGGTGCGCGGTGCATGGGGAGCACCAGTCCCCTGGTGCGCGGCTATGGGGGGGCACAGGCCCCAGGCACGTGGCTCATGGGGGGGCAGCATATGCGTAGCCCCGCCCCCTGGTGCACAGGCGTCCCTGCCCTCTGGTACCCAGCAGGCGAACGGCCACCCCCCCTGGCTCCCGGCAACATCAAATGGTTGGGGACCACTGTCATAGCATTTGGGGGCCCATTACCACTTCATTCTCTCTCAAAATCTGTGAAGCAAGGGTAAGGGACTTGCCCAATGCCACAGGTTTGGCAGCAGAGCTGAGATTAGAACTCAGGAGCTCCTGGCTCCCAGTAGGGATGTGAAAGGCTAACTGGCAAGCATCACCCTATAAACAGGAGGTGCTTGCTGGATCTGATTAACCAATAACTGATGGAGGCTGGGAGCAGACAGCAGCCCCAGCCCTCACGTGGGGGCTGGAAATTGGCAGCACCAGCACAGATTTGGGAGCTGCTCCAGCCAGGCTGGAGATGTCACTAGCCCAGATCCCACTTTAGTCAGTTAACTGAACATTTAACCAGTAACTGATAAACCAGGATTTTGCATCCTTAGTTCCCAGCCCCACCCTGACAAACCTGCCACATGAAATTCCACAGCAGTGACTGCTGTACACAAAGCTCTAACTGCTTCAAGCTCAATTAGCTTTCAAGGCAGTGAGGACCAATTATTACAAGGGGCAACTATCCAAGAATGAGGTTTTGCCCTGAATGTCTAAAGGGGGTGATCTATTGGTCAGAGCATGGGCTGAAACACTGTATTGAGGGGGGGGTCATGCCTAATCCAACTCTGCTACTAGCCCAAGAGCATTTTATTCAGCTTGCAGCATCTCTTCTGTTTCCTTAGCTCAAAATCATAGATAATACTTATCTCTAAAGAGTGCTCAGAATCAGTTACTTAGCACAGCAGCGCTCTTAACCATCCTTAATCGTTACAAAGCCATCGGATAAGGGGGCAGACTTGATGAAGTACAAGCTCTAGCAAGGACTTCATTCCTGAACTGGCACACAGAGCACACACCAGGATTAGCCATTCAAGAAACTGTTTGAGAACTCCAGCAATTGACATTTTCCCCGTTGGTCCTGGCTCATGAGCCTGGCCAATTGGTTGAAACTAATTCATGAAGCTGCACAAGTGGGGGGTGGAAAAGGAGAACCTCTGAACAGCATCCACAGCTTCTCACGACATTCCAGAGACAAATCAGGTGGGGTCACCTACCACCAGGCACTGGAGGAAAGAAGAAATGCCAATGACAGGGAGAGGAAAAGGAGGAAAGACTTCTTCACGTAGGAGGGAGAAGCTGCCTTCAGAAAGGGGGACTTGCCTCCTGGTGGGGGTAGAATTTTAGGCCACCCAGTGAGGGGAAGGTTATGGAAAGGGAACAAGGATGGAAAATATAGGTTTCTTCAGTTGCAGATGGTTCTAAAGCAACAGGGAATTGAGAGAGTGAGTGAGGGAATAGCACCCCACAAAAAGTACAGGGCAGGCCCCCAAAGGGAGAAGGAAAGGAAGGCTGCAGTCTCAGAAAATAAGGATGGGGAGGTGAGCAGAATAGGCGGCATATGGAGCAGATAAATATCCAGGGGAAGAGATGGGCGAGAGAAAGAAAAGAGGGGAATCTCCAGTGCTAGGGCAGTGCCCCGGGATAGGGGTTTGAAGTGCACAGGTGTGATGAGGAGAGGGCAGGGAGGAGGAGAAAGGAGTCTGGGTGCGAGGTGCAAAGGGGAATGAGGAGCGGGGTGGAGATAGAACAGCGGGCGGGAGAGAAAGGGGATCGGGGCAGTCGCGTGCAGATGGGGGGGCTGAGGTCCCACTCCCGGGGGAGGGGGGGGGGCCGAG